ATAATAATAATAATAATAATAATAATAATAATAATAATAATAATAATTCCATTCCTAGCTGCTCTGTTCAGTCCAGTGGACAATAATTTCTGAATTAGAGACAAGCAGCCTGGCTCAAAAATTCTGAGAAACTGGAAAGAAAGCTTAACAGCACCTTAAGTTGCTGGTGTTTTTTCTTTTAACAGAAATCTTTTTTGCAGGTGGAGAAAATGGAGATTTAGCACAATCTTAGGGAGAGCTGGGCTGAAGCCCCATCGCCTGGAGGGCACCAAAATGGGCCGGGTCCCTCCAGCAGGCGCTGCCTCGGGGTGCCCTACAAACTGCCTGCTGGACAAGAGGCTAGAAGTGAGGGGTGGGGACGCAGCCTTTGCCTCAGGGAGCAGAGTGGGGCTGGCGGCGCTGAGCAGATGGCTCAGGCTGGGGGTGTGGCGGCTCCTGTGTTTGCACACAGAGACCGGCTTAATCGCTGTGCCACATGCCAGCTTGCAGTCGAGGGAAACCCCACCGATGGGAGTTACTGCAAGCAGGAAGCAGGAGCCAACTTCCTGCCTTGGGCAAGGATCCACACGCAGCCCGGCCCGGGACTGACCGGCCAGCGTGGAGCCCCACCGATGGGGCTGCACCTGGGGCAGCCGGTCGCCCGAGAGTCAGGCCTTTCTTTGCGATCCCCACCGATGGGCAGACACGGCTTGGGAGAAATGGGCACTCTGGCCCAGCCGCAACCCTTGCCTTCCCGGACCGAAGGAAGGCCGGCCCAGAGCTTTGCCCTCCCCAGCCTTCGAAGGAGCCTCGAGACCAGCTGCTCCAGCCATGTGCAGGGGGCTCCACCTTTATCAACACGCCTCCCTCTGGTTTCATTTTGCTTTTATAGTTTCAAAGCTTTAAAAATGAATGAATGGTAATGATGGTTTTAAACTCATTGCTTTATGGATACTGGTAGCCCTCCAGTTATGACCATCGCAGAGCCTTGTAATCATGGACGTAACTCGTGGCAGTTAGAAAGGAAACGCCACAGTCGAGCAAAGCCATCGGCTGGTGCGATGGGCGGCTTTGACTGAAAACTGGAAGGAAAATGGCCGCCTTGGGCAAAGCCCGTGTACTTAACCGCAGGGCAATGCAAACAGCCGTAATTGTGGTCCAGTTGCTGAGCGCACAACGTGCAGTTACAGGACCACAAGGGAGTGGGGGGGGGCATGATGGTGAAAACTTCAAATCCGAGTCACACATTCCCTCCAGGTAGTTCTGCTGGAACTTCACTAAGCAAGAAGTCATAAGTCAAGGACTCCGTGAAATTGGCAGACATAAACATGCTAAATAAGTGAAGGTGTAAATAAATGCCCCAGAAGGCAGCTGAACCCAGTGGTCTGTCTCCGAGCTCAGGGCACATAATCGGGGTCTCCAATAGCAGGAGAAAACTTCCTTAAAAGAGAGTGGGCCATGCTAATCTTCTCTGTATCGTTCCAATTTTAGTATATGTGCTGCCGAAAAGTAAAATTAATAAAGTTTATTTAAAAAAAAAATAAAAAATAAAAGAGAGTGGGGATGGAGGTCAGGCTAGATGAACTTGGTGTCCCCCTCCAATTCTAGACGCTGCAAATACTCAAATTTCAGCACCACAGACCAGCATAAACTTGGAACAAAAGTGAAGAGGCAGCTGTGGCCAACAACTGATCGAGAAAGCAGCCTGGGAAAAGATGAAGGCAGGAAAAGAGGCCAGCATGACTGAATCAAAGCGTTAAGGACATCACCCGCACAGGAGGAGGCGCAGAAGAAGAGGTGAAGCCAGGAAAGAGCCACTGCTCCAAAGGGGCTGGGGAAGGATGCCCACCCCCACCGCAACTTTCTTCCATAGGATGCCTCCTCCCCGCCCAGGAGGAGGAGAATAGCGGGGCGAGTGACTGGCTGTCCAGAGCGAAACATAAATGGGAAAGAACAGAGCTCTTTTGTTTGGGTTTTGAAACCTGGGTGGGTGGGGTGTGCCTGAGTTTGTATTCCAGTTCAGTTGGGAGAGGCCCAGGTGAGCGTCCAGAGGAAGAAAGCAGCTCAGTTGCACAACCTGTGGGGCTCAGCCACAGCCTGGCATGACGCGCGCGCACACACACACCCCTCCCCGTGTCCAGGTAGGTGGAATTTTGTGGGAGGCTCCTAGACTCTTAGCTTAACAAAAGTACCGTTTAGACAAGACAAATGTTTTTTGAGCATAAGCACTAAGGAAATTTCCTCCTTTTCATATACAGGTTCCCCCTGTCATCCCACACAGAAATTGCACAGAAAACCATATGGTTTATTTGGCTTTGACTATGGCACAAACCCCACCCTCGATTACATGGAATAAACCACGACTCCAGGCGACTCTCAATTCCGCAAACGGCGGTTACAGTTAACAGGCTGGCTCGGCAGTGTGCGTGGGGATGGGGGGGTGTGGGGGGGTGTTTCAAGGTCGTGCTGCAGAAGGCCCTGGCGGGAGCCTCGGGGCGCCCTTGGGTCCCAGGGAGCAGACGTTTCAGCCACCGAGGCCTCCTGACCCCCGTCCCGCTGTCTCTCGGTTGAGAAATAGCGGCGGGATTCAGAGCGAGGCTTTAGGCCGCAACTGCCCCAGGAATCGCCCCGCCAAGCTTTGCCCGAGGAATCGGGCCCGTCGGCAAGCCGCCCGCCCGGGGCGCTCGGTGCTTCGGACAACCGCGCCTTCCAAAGCTCGACGCGGACCGGCGCGGCGGGCAATCGCCCGACCGGCCCCAGCGAGGGGACCTGGCGGGGCTCGGCGCGGGGCTGAGGTCCGCGCCTCGCCACCCTTGGGATGGGGAGCGGCCCAAACGTCGCCCGCTCTTTCCCAGCCGGCCGGCCCCGGGAGAAGCGGCGGCTTCGGGCTACGGCAGCCCCGCCGCTGCCTCGCGACGGAGGGGCCCCGCTTGCCACCCACCTCCGCTCCGGGGCTGAGGGAGCTGAGGCGGGGAGGTCGGGCGGGATCCCACTCCCGGAGGAGGGAGGGGCCGGCGGGCAAGGCGCCCCCCTCCAGCGCCCGCTCGCAGGTGGAGCCCTCCTGCCCAGGGAGGCTCGCTTCCGCCCGCAGGGAAGCCTCGGCCGGGGCGGGGCCTGGAGGGGCGGCCCAGTGGGCGCGGGGAGGGCCGGGGCCGGCGGTACAGCCTCAGCTGGAGACGGAACCAGGCGGCGGCGGCGGCGGGAGAGGCGAAGCCATGCGCCGCCCGAAGAGAACGCAGCCCCGAGGTGAGCCAGGCGGCGCCCCAGCCCGACCCCGCCACGCAGCCAGGCAGGCAGGTGAGGCGCCTCTCCCGCCCAGGCCAGGGAGACGACGCGCCGGCTCCTCGGGCAGCCTCCGGCCGGACGAGGCGGACTTTGGCCGGCCGGGCAGCGCTGGACCTCGGCCGCCCTTCGCCCTTCTCGGGGGAGGCGGCGAGGGCTCTCTGGGTCCGGCGGCAGCGGGCGGGGGAAGCCCGAGCGGAGCTTCCTCGGGGTGCCGATCGCCTCGCCCCGCTCCTCCGAGGGGCCTCGCCCAGCCGCCCCGGGCGGCCCGGAATAGCTCCCACTGGCCTCGGTAGGTCTGGGCGGGGGCGGGGGGCGTCTCTGCCGTCGGTTCGGCCGCCTCGCGGAGGGTCCCTTGTAGCACCCCGGGCGCGTTTGGCGGGGGCGGCTTTCCCACGGAGGAGGCGGGGACTTCCCTCCGCTCCCCGCCACCCCCCTCAGCCCCTGCTCCCTCCTGCGGCTCCAGCCCCTCCGGGCGCGGCCGAGTGGGGTCGGCGCGGGTTCGGGGACGAGCGGGCCCATGGCGGCCTGGGGGAGCTCGTCCGGATCGCCCCCGGGAAGGCAGGCCCGAGCTGCCCCTTTGAAGGGCGGAGAGCCGCCGGGAGCGGACCAACCGGTTTGCCTCTCCCGCTCGCCAGGTTAGACTTTAACCCGACTCCGGCGGCGGCTCCGGGCTCTCCTTCCGCGAGGAAGAAAGGGAAGATTGACGTTGTGGCAGGGAAGAAGAAAAAGGGAAGTCGGGGAGCCTCCCAGGGCCAGGCGGCGGCGGCCTCGGCCTCCTTTCCGCCCGCGGGCCTTCCTTGCGAGCGGCGTGTCGGCTGGGGTGGCCTCCGTGGCCGGCCTAGGAAGGGCTGCGCTGTCTCGGCGGGAAGGTGGGCCCCGGTCTTCAGCACCGCCGGCGGCGAAGCTCCGCTCCAGTTGGGAGCCTGGCCTGTACAGGGAGACCTCGACTTACGACCACAGGGGAGCCCAAAGTCTACGTTGTTAAGTGAGATGTTTGTTAAATGAGTTTTGCCCCATTCTACGACCTTTCTCACCACAGTTGTTAAGTGAATCGTTGCAGTTGTGAAGGTAGTCACACACAGCTGTTAGGTGAAACTGGCTTCCCCCTTGACTTGTCACAAGGTCGCAAAAGCGGATCACATGGCCCCGGGACACTGCGACCTGACATAAATAGGAACCAGTTGGCAAGAATCCAAAGTTCCATCCTGTGACCACAGGGATGCTACAGTGATCGTAAGTGTAAAAAAGAGTCCTGTTATTTTTTTCAGTGCCGTTGTAGCTTTGAACGATCACTAAGCCTGTCCTCAAACTGCAAAACATAGATGACTCAAGCAAGTGAGACTTGCTGCATGTTTCAGTTGGATGCAGGGAAGGTTTCCTTTCTAGGCCTAAAAGGACTTTGAGCAAAAACCACCTGAACTGGCAGGTCTGGTTTAGGTGGCGATCTAAGAAGCAGCTTGTTTAAGCACACACAATTGATGGAATGGATCACGGGGTGGGCGGGTGGGGGTGGGGGGGTGTTGGAACAAGGGCCTTCATTTCAGACCAGCCGCATTATAGCTTGGGGTGGTTCGAGGAATCTGTTCATAGGACGAGGTATAGATTTTGCCCTTGCCATCGTTGCCTGTGCTCTGGGGTGTAAACCACCACGATTAAGTACGTGTAAACCAGCAGAAAGGGATGCTGTTCTGGCTTTTTACCTCGGGGGCCTTCACGTTTGTAAATGAGTGAATTTGTCCATTTTGCCGGGTGTTAAATTCTAATTATCTACAATTATATGCTTTAAGCAATATGTACCGTGCCCTCAATTATCTTGCGCGACTGATTTGGCTGCAGCACCCTGTACTCATAGACTTGGCTTTCTTTTATCGCCAAAATCTCCCTCTTTTCTCCCTTTCTTGTACTGTTATTCTGTTTTAATATCTCTCTTTCCTCCTTCCCCGAATAAGTGAAAACGAATTCAACTACCCTGGTTAATTTTGTCCCCTTTCTCATTTTAATTTCTGTGCAACAGGGAGAGTTAATGAGGGTTGTGTGGCAGCTTTGATGGGAGTATACAGCATTTACAAAATAATCATTATGATAATGATACAGTATTGTCAGGATAAGGTGAGCTTGCCCAGAAAAACCCATGGCAAGAAGACACTACAGTGCAGCAACTGATGGCCTTTTGAAAAAGTGGAGGGAGGCAGCCTTGTTATTTACGGATTGGGATTACAAAGCCCAGAATTTGAAACCAGCAAGGGGTGTTTGTGTGTGTCCTGCAAGCACTGAGGAATTGTAGGACTTGTGATACAAGACAGGAAGGTTTAATGGCTCAGAGTTGCAGTCCATCAAAGTCAGTGTAACTCATTCTATTGATTTCACTAGATGGACTCAAAAAAGTGATCGATTGATTGATTATGTGCTATCAAGTCCTTTTTTGACTTCTACTGGCCTCATAGATTGATTTTCTCCATGAGAATCTGTCTGTTGCCTGGTCTTTCTGAACTTAAAAAAAAACAACACACCAGGAAAATCACAGAGAAATTGAGAGGGCTACGGTTGTCTCTCCACGTGAGAATCTTTCTTCCAAAATGATAAAGCCAAGAAAAATAATTTGATATTTATTTTCCCACCTTCCCATTTTCCTGCTTTATTTTTTCCATGTGTGACTATCTTGTTTTTTACTCTTTCTATAATGGGTTTAAAAGCAAACAGTTGTTGAAAAGTCAGCCCCTCTTTAGTGCACGGGCAGCGTTTGGGCAAACAGCTTTGGAATATAGAACTGTGGCTTATCTTGCAGACCAAGATAATACCTGTGTCCACACATTCTTTGCCCCCTGGAACAATCCTGGCAGGGAACAGTTTATGCTCGTGGAAAGCAGTTTCTTCTGTGTCAGAATGAAATATTATTAGCAAGGGTCCATCTAACGGGACAGGGAGAATGTTTCAGCGAATATTCTGGCAAAATATTTTTCTCCCCAGTCAGGAGACCTGAGGAATTTCTCCTCCAAGTAACTGTGAGCCGATTTCATGGGAGGCCTTGCGCAGTCAAAGATCCGAAAGGGAAAAGGCGATTCAGAGTTCACATGAAGGTTTGCCCTGCAGGAGTTCTCATCGCTGCCTTAAATTTCCCAAGAAGGCAGCCTGTTCCCCAATGGACTCAGCCTGAGCATCCCTTGTGCTCTTAAGCCTACTGGGATCCTGCTTCCATCGCTCGGAAGCCCTGGGGAGTCTGGGCTGCAGACGGATGGAGAGAGAGGGGGGACTGGGGGAAATGGGATTTCCCCAAAGGCCAGCTGTTCATCCTTTTTCATTCGTTGCAAATAATTTCCACCAAAGCGAATTGGGCAGTGGGTTAGTTTGTTAGCTAACTGCTGCTCAGGTTAACAGTTTGTCGGACTGAGGTTCCTTTGTTGCAACCTCTCGGAGTAAGTCTGTTCAGATACAACTTGGCAGAGAGGTGTCATTTCCTCTTTCATTCATTCCTCATTGTAGTCTGGCTGGTTCTCAGCTTCCTCAGGGCCCTGATCAGGGCGTCCTGCCACATCGGCCCTTTCTGGGCAGGATGGCCGCATTGTTGCTCTGGGGTCCTTCCAGGGCATCTTGGCCCTGGGGCCGTTCTTGGGCACAGGGCAAGGCCCGTATTCTGGGTTTTGTCTTTCAGCTGCTTTGGGGTCCATGGGAAAGCCGAGCTTGGCCGTAGGAGGGATCTCAGAAACTCAGCCGTCAAAAGCCCTCCTGTCTCTCCTTTTAAGCCTTATGTAGGTAGGAACAGGTAGGAAATCTGATCTGCAGTTAGCTGGACGAAGTCTCCGCCTGCCAAGCTCTCGGCCTCTGGCCTTTTCAGGCCGGTTTCCACCCTGGTGAAGGCTGCAAACAACCAGGAGAGGTTTCCATGTGCCAGGAGACCCAAAGCCTCAGGCATTCCAGGAGGGCCTGTGCTGGTGGAAAAAACCCAGCGGCATTTTTGGTCTGGTGGGCAAGACAAGAGCTTTACCAAGATAGGGCAGGGGCCTTTGGCCCACCCACAAAGGGCATCATCGGTGAAGTTCAGCTGGTGTTAAACAGGGCAAATCAGGTGTTGAGTTTAAAGGATGTTGCTCTGAGCTCAAGAGTGAGGATTGTACTGGACCCGTCCTGTGCAGGTACACAACCTTTGGTGCTGCAAGTCAATACCAACGGTCCTCTCACAGATGGTGCACCAATGGTGGGTGTGCAAATACCTGTTCCACTATTGCAGTTCTCCAGGGAACCGGGGTTGCTCTTTTCAAGTTATATTTGTGTCCTTTCTCTGAAGTGCTCGCCTCAATTTGATCCGTGATGGGTGTTCAAATTACATTAAAACTATTTTGAGGGGTCAGTTTTCCTACATTTTCTGCCTCAAAATGCTGAAAACGTGCAACTGAACTTTACAGGGACTTTAGGAGTGGTAGGTCAGTTTCCAAAGTCAAATTGGCCAGGCCAGATTGGCAGATGGAGGCCATACAAGCATGTCCGGAGTCTCCCACCCTCGGTTCTAACCTACTTCTTTGTCGGCTCCTTTGCTCTTCCTCTTCTTCCTCTTCTGCTGCTGCTGCTGCTGATTCTGCATTCAGAAGGCCCAGCTTTTGTTTCCTTTTCCCCATGTCGTTTTCCTCCCACAGGCTAATTGTATAATTGAGGGCATCCAAGCTCTTCCGTGCGGCCTCGGGCACTTTGCAAGCAGAGAGGCAGCCTTTTGTTTTATTCCTGTGAGAAGGAAACGTGATCCAGGAGAAGCAGGGGAAGGGCACCCTTTCTTTCCACTTTCCTTCGTTAAAAGAATTCCTGCCAACTATCTGACGGCGCCCAGTGCCATCTGCCGACGCTCCGCTTTGTGTCAGTGCCTTTCCGCATCCTCCTTTGGTCATGCCACCTTTTCCTCATCGGTGCACTTCTACAGATCCCACCTAATCTGCCGTTATCCCGTTGCCTTCCCCACCTTTGCATTTTGATCATGTCAAAGGTGTTGCTGGGAAGACGTCCATTCCCGGTCACCCCCGTTGAGCCGGGGGAACCCGGGGCTGTGCCTCCCCGGAAAGCCTCTCTTAGAGGCAGAGAGCTGCCTCTCCCTCCGGGCGCTTTCGCCCAAGGCTGCAGGCTGCGTCTCCGAGAACCGGCGCAGAGGGATAGCTAGGAGCTTCAGCTTTGGGGGGCTGGCGAGCCGCTGGCTGTGCTGCATAAGCGGTTCTTGGTGGGGAGGCGGAGGGGGAGCCCGCTTCTGGTCTTGGCTCTGTGGGGGCCAGGCTGCCTGCTCCCCCCCGCCCTCGGCTTCTCAGTTGGGCCTCGTTCAACCTCAGAAGCCACTGGGCAATGCCAGCTGGGCAGGGTGCCTGTGCTTGGCTGGTGCCAGAGTCCCAGATGGGGTGCAGAGGTGGGAGGGGCATCTGCACCAGCCTACTCTGGCTGGATGGGAGACCACCAGGCAGTGAAAAGGGAGAAGGCAGGGGCAAGTCCATATGCCCAGAGGACTGTCTGGATGCAGCCAGGAAAACTTTTATTTTTTTCTTTTAGCCTGGCATCTTTCCCTGTTTCTCCAGCTTCCCAGCTGGGCGCATTTGCAGTGAATTAACTCCGGTGCATTCATTTGGAAGGAGAAAGTGGTTAGTGCTAACGATCATTAACTTCCAGTGAGGTGACTCTGCTTGGTGGTTCCGGCCGTGGAAAGAGAGAATGGCATTCAGTCCTTTGGTCAAATCTGGCCTGCGCTTTCCCTCCTATTCTGGGCTTGCATTGAGCTATTCTGATTTTTCTTTTCTTTTCTTTTTTTTTTAGTGCATGCTAAATCTTTCCTAGCGCATATGGCTTTTATGTCTAGCTGGGATTTTTAAAATTGTGTCTGGGGTTCTATTTTAATCCTGGCTTCATTTCTGGAACGCAGCTATTCCACAACAGAAGCGGAATCCAAATCAGAGTTTGCCCAATAATGTCTGAATGCTTATAAAAGGGGTTTTCCATGGGGCTGGAGAGGGGCACGTATGGGTTTTTTTTTCTTTTCTTTTTTTGTATTTAGTTCTGTTAGTATTTATTTTCAAATACTTGCTACAGTTTTATTTATATATATATATATATATATAT